GAGAAGGGGGGGCTGGGGAATAGGGTTGTGTTGCTGGGTAGGTTTTTGTTTTAAAAGAATTTTATTATTTTAATATAATTGATTTTAATTTTTTTTTTTAAGGGACTGGTTAGCCAATTATCCACGTCATCAATTAACGTTTGACTAGACGGTCAATTTAACGGAGAGTGTAAATTGGTCACTTTTAATAACATTGGGGTGTAATTTGATGAAATTGAAACCTCGTGGTCCATATTGAAAATCACCCTAAACCTCGAGGGGTAAACTGATGTTAATCCAATTTTTAAATTCCCAAAATACCATCATTAATTTTTAAAAATGACACCACCTCCACATCCACATCCAACTCTACCACCACCACCCCTCCTCCTCCTCAACCTCCACCATCTCCACCACCTCCACCTTCATCACCACCTCTTATGCCACCACATTCACCTCCATCTCTTTCACCACCACCACTATCACCACATGATTAGCTCATAACACTTTCAACATCATGTATATTTTAGTCATTATTCACAGTTACAACAGTTTCATATTAAAATTTACCAAATGATTTTGACATTGCTTTTTTTACTAATAACACTTTAAAAATACTATTTACCAAACAAGGATTTGCTTTACTTTACAGCTAATTATTTTCAAAGCACAATATAAGCAACTTTTTCTTTTAAGTGACAGCAATCCCAAACTAGCCCTAAATACCACAACAAATCTAATTGAGAGTTAGCAATGCAATGTTTTGTAGAAATTTACGTATTTATATAAAAGTTTGATATATTATACTACTTGTGTAAGAGGTAACATAATGGCATAATAAAGGAAAGTTAAATTCGGTCAAAATAGAGGGTATTTAATATCCTAATCAATACATGAAACAATTACACAAAACTTTCTTAAACTAAAAAAGTCAAGTTGTCATCTGCCAATTGAAGTTTTATCTCTTTTCAAGTCGCTCTCTGGTTCACGCGAGGAGAACCTTGACGGCTAGGGTTAGGGTTTCTTCAGTTTTCTTTACTCATTCTCTGCGCCGTCTCTCTCAGTCTTCTCTGATTGTCTCTCTGGGTTCTTCTTGGTGAATTTGGTATGACTTTTTTTTTTGCTATTTTGTTCTCCGTGGGGTGGCTGCGTTGGCTTCCTTTATGGGTTCCCAAGGAGCCAGTCGCTGATGAGGGGTCTCCATCTTAACGCTATGGAGGTGGCCACCGCCTCTTCTGCTTAAGGGGATGACAAGCATGTGGCACCAAGCAGGA